AAATCACAAGTGCGACAAGCCAGAAAATCTCTGAGTCGTACAACACCCAACTCCTCTTGAAGGATCATGGGGCTCAGTAAGTAAGGTTTTGTCCTTAATTGGGGTTGGAAGTATTTATTAGGTACCTAGGTTCCCATTGTAGTTGCTTTTTTTGGTCAACCAGTGTTGGGATCCTAAAACAGAAATAGATTCGGCAAACCAAACACGGCAACTGCAATGGACACAATACTAAACCCTAAACATAAACCCTAAACCCGAAACCCTGAACCCTAAGCCCTAAACCCTAACTATCGGTAGAGCCCTGAACAACCAGAAAAAGGGAAGGCCTCACATTTCGCAAGATCCAGCGAAGACCACTCCTTTGGTTGATCTCGGGAACTGGGTTGAGCTATCTTCTATTCCTGTTAGGGTTTAGGGTTTAGGGTTCAGGTTTTAGGGTTTAGGGTTTAGGGTTATACTCTTGTCCTATTCTGTTCTACTATGTTGCAATCCTAGAGTTCGTATAGTAGAGCTCTAATTACGGCTTGGTTTGAGTTTAGGATTTAGGGTTCGGAGGGATTTAGGGCTCGAAATTGCAACTAGAAAGCTCAGCAATTCTCCAAACTTTAGACTAGGGTTTAGGGTTTAGGGTTTAGGGTAAACCCTAAAGCCCTAAAGCCCTAAGCCCTGAAGCCCGAAAGCCCTAAGCCCTGAGTGGCAAACGCCTCGAAATCGCAGGACCCATCTGGGGGAGCCCCCGACAAAGCTTACTGGGAGGATCATGGGACTTAGCAATTATTTACGGTCAAAAGTCCTTTCATTGGGATTATAAGTATAGTTACCTTAGTTATAACCCTACGTACTAAGTCCTCATGATCCTGTAAGTAGCCACCTGAGATTTGAGATCCAGTGGCTCCAAGGCCTCTAGCTGTGAAACAAGATGGGCAAGTGGGGAAGGGTTGTCCCAACCCTAAACCCAAAGCCCCTAAACCCCTAAACCCCTAAACCCCTAAACCCCTTAACCCCTTAACCCATAAACCTCTACACCCCTAAACCCCAAACCCTAAACCGTCCCAACATTGCAAGCTGAGGCAATGTTTTGCGCGACCAGCCCCTAGGCCTGTGAATTCAGAGCTGGCCAGGGTGAGCCGGACTCTCTAAGCCTAGTGCTCTGAACCACGAACTCTTCGCCCAGAGCCTAAACCCTAAAACCCTAAGCCCTAAAGGCCCTAAAGGCCCTAAGCCCTAAAAGCCCTAAACCCGAAGACCTAAGCCCTAAGCCCTCAACCCTAAACCCTAAAGGCCCTAAACCCTAAGCCCCAAAACCTAAACCCTAAACCCTCAACCCTCAACCAACTTTAAGTAACCCTGTACTTAAAGGATCATGCGACTTAGTAAGTAAGGTTACAAGTCCCTTAACTGGGGTCATAAGTATAGTTACCCTAGTTATAACCCTACTTACAAGTCCCATGATCCTCCAAGTAGG